CAGCTTCTTTCTTCCTCCCCCTCCCCCCCAGCTGCCACCACGTGAATTGTCATTATTTATTAATTTATTCAAATATGGTATTTGTTTTTGCAGGTCCTTTTGAAGGGAGGCCCTTATGGGTCTTATGTGCAGCTTGGTGAAGATAGAAAAGGATATCTGCCCAAACGAGCATCTGTATCTCTGGTTAGTTCATTTAATGCCTTTTCTTATGAGATATGTCCAATGCTATGTTATTATTCCATGTGTAATAATGACTTTGGAATGGAATGGGCACATGTATACAACACATTATTTCAGTTAGTTAAGAAAATTAGGCTCTAAGTCAGCATTGATATTATACCAAAGGAGACTTTACTATTGACCATAGAATTTAATCCCGCATAGGCTGTAGGCCTCAGGTTAATCTATGTGGCTGAGTTATTTTCCTTACTATGCTTGAAATTCAAAATAATCTCATGACAATGAGGTCAATGTTAGGGGAAGGCAGAGGAGAAATTGAGAAGTATGAAAATAGGGGTGAAAAAAGAAAAAGATTGGCTACCTGCTGGATAGTATTGGGATCTAATAATTTCTGGCAATAACATTAAGCTTTAATGAGTATCAAGAGTAGATGTTTATTATGGTATAAACAAGATAAGCCTCTTCTTCTTCTTTTCTTTTTTTTTTTTTCCCTCTTCTTTTGAAACAAAATGAAATTGACAAGATCCAATCAGTGTGATTGTTTGAATTTTTATCAGAATCATTTGAATGTTACTGTTCCTGTTTAAATATGATTTATTTTATATTTTTCATTCCAAACTCATTGATCTAATCTAGTACAGTGACTTTGGCGAGCGCCTCTGACAATCATCTGGTAGTCAGGTTGAATGGTTTTATTTCATCTTGAATTTGGCTTACAATTTTTTTTTGATCATGTCTGCCCCCAAAAGAATTTCCACTGAAACTTGCATTTGCTGCAAAGGGCCATAATTAAAGTATCTGAAGTAATAAGAATTAACGAGAAGAAATACATGAAGGCTGAACTAGAATTGAGCCCTTTTCCCTCCTCTATTTGTGTAATTGTGAGAAGGAGAAATATGCTGTTCAAGAAGAGATTATGACCTGCATAATTTTTTGCAATCACCTCCTATTTTTCCTCTTGCTTTCCAACTTTGTATGATGAGTGGATACATTAAAACAGCCTGAGGCGACTTTATTCTCCATTGACTTTATAGCAGTGCTTCCATTAGACTGGCATTACAATACAGATCAGAATGTTGGGCATTTAGGTTGGAGCATAGAGAAGATGAATGTAGAGATGGATAATCTCTGAATGTAGAAATTTGGAGTTCTGGATGTTAAGGGTAATAAGAGAAGGAGAATTGGCTACTTAGTTAGGGCATGTGAGGCTTCTATCAGAGGATGCATCGGTAATGAAGGGGGAGTGTTGGGATAATAATGATTTCAACAGAAGTCGTGGGAGGACAGTGTATACAATTAATATACCCTGTCCTTTAGCATGGATATGCTCTAGTTCATAAAATAGCTGAGTTGGATACTTGTGACTTTGTGAGGACTGTCCCGAATAACTGTTAATCATGTGCTATTTTTAGTGCAATAATCACTTGCCGTGACTTGTGTGCTCTGTATTTTGCTTCTTAGATGGAGGACAATCAAATTCCTTCCCGTTTGCTGTAAAGCTCTTTTTTCCCAATCAATAGAATTCCTTTTCTTGTTGATTAGCTATGCAATTTCTTGATTTACTACGATGGTGATTGAGTATTCAGCATGCTATAGTTTGTGTATTTGATATTATTCAGAAATAATTTTTTTTTTAAAAAGTTCCTAGACTGCTTTTAATTTGGGATCCTTTCAGATCAAGGATTTGGGCTCGATAACGCTGGAACATGCTATCGATTTGCTTCGTTACCCTATTACACTGGTATATCTCTATTCATTTACTTATATTTTAACACTTTTAATTTTTTATACATGCACTTTGACCTTTACCTTTTTTAGCCCCTTAAACTGTGTATTTTGTGAATATTGCTTCCAGGGAAATCATCCTGTAGATGGCCTGCCAATACAAATAAAGATCTCAAAAACAGGATTTACCATAAGGCATCGACGTAACATAGCTCCTGTGCCAAAGGTTTGTCTTTGATCCTATTTTTTTTACCAAGTACTACAGTAACTGGTTATCCTGCTTTAGATGCATGTTCTGAAATGTTTCTTGCTATCATGGATTATTATAAGACATTAGTCAACTAGTTCATGTGATGCCATTTGACATTTTAGAAGATCTTCCTCTTGGGTATGAAGCATATAGATACGAGCCTTTTCTGTTCACCATAATGTGTTTATTGTTATTGTTGGTGCTGTTGGTGCTGTTGAGTGTCTTTTTACTTGGTACCTAAGATTAATAATAATGAATTTCATTGGCTAAAGCAAATCTCAGACTTTGATTATCTAAGAAACAATACAGAATAATAATACAGAAAAAATTAGTCTCCTTGTTGGCTCATTGCTTTAGTGGCTGATGGATCAGTCTGCTTTCCTTCATTAATGCAGAGTGTGATCGCTAATGATATTGATATGGAGAAAGCTTTGTTGTTACTTAATGGACCGGATGTTAAAAGATCTGGTCGACCAAAGGGTAAAAAGCGCTTGGAAGAAGAAGAAGCTGTCGATGACATTTAGGATGTTGCCGGGGCAACATGCTACTATACAGACATACCTTCTAAAAGCTTGATACTTTTTGATTAGTATTTAGCTTTCAGGCAATTCAGCAGCAATCATCGGCTTCAAAGAGCTGATACACTTACATAACAGCCCGGATATAGTATGTTAAGCTGCGCAGTAAGATGTACAATCAAAGCAGCATCGCGAGGGGCTGTAGTCATGTGCTATGTTGAGCAAATTAGTGTTAGATGGTTCTGATTCTTTTTAATCATCATTAGTCGCCCGTCCCTATTTTTGGCTTCCGATCACGGGCATGTTTTATTTGTTTGTCCATAGTTTTAGTCTATAAAGTAGAGTGTATCTTTAGGGTTATAATCAAAAGAAGTTCCAATTCCTTGATAATTGATTAATATAGTTGTCAATTTCATTCCTACATTATAGGCTTTTACGAGTAAATTGCTTTATTTATGTAATAAGATCAAATTAAAATCCTTTTGTTTTTAAGAGTGCTTTGAATTTGAAGATAATCGCAAAGAATAATCGAACAACTTCCTCTAATATGTGTTACTATGTGTTAACACTTGTTAAAGTTTACAGAATTAAATTTAAAAAAACTCTTTTTTAATTGATCAAAAAGAAACTGTCTATACAACAAGAGTTTACCTCTTGTACAAAAATACAAGTTTAATTGTGCTTACAAACTTGTATAATTATGTATTGATTGAAAATTTTCCTAATTAATAATTACAATTTCATAATTTGTTGTACAAAATTATGCACCACTTGGATTTGTATGTGGATCATCTTTGCCATTTACCCACTTATTATTGTTTCCAACTATGAAGATTAGGTTTTCTTTATCAAAACATAAATCTATCATTTTTTTTTTCCAACTAGAGATTTGATCTCGTCAAAACACTAATCTCTACTTCAAAAGCTAGTTTGGAATAGAGCCTAAAATTTTCTTTTCTCCCCCTCATATGCTATAAAACATGTATTTGTTACTCTCCACTAAAAGTCGAGCTCTTCCAACTTTCATGAGAAGGTGCACTACTCAATGAATCCTGCACATTTAAAACACAATTGTCAAAAGATTAAAGGCATTGGTGACACGCTTTGACTTTTATCATAACTTCTAAAAATTCAAGCAAGCAAGAGTCTAAATACGTGGACTTACAGAGACTTGGCTATTAGATGATTTAGGATTGTAAGATCCATATGTGTCGCGAAATGTCATAGCATCCAAACTCTCCTCTGCCATATTTCTTAAGAAGCAAAGTTGAGGCAACACAATCGTTCCAAGGTCAGGCCTATCTCTCCTCCTTAGCTCAGCACATTGAAGTGATAGTTTTGCAAATTTTAAAGCCTCTTCAATAGGCCAATCTGTAACTTCTTTGTCCAAAATATCCTTGAATGTTCCTTTCTCAATTGCTCTCTCAACATGGTGTGTTAAGCCCATTGGTGATTTCGCCGTTATCAGTTGTAATAGTATTATGCCTAGGGAGTACACATCTGATTTCACACCAAGCATACCTATAACAATAACAACAACAACAATGTAATCACATTAATTAAATTGCAACATATAAATTGTAATTCCTAGAGAAGGTCTATCAATCGATATCTAATATGATTTCATGTTGCAACCCCCTGCTAAAGTTGTGCTTAAATCACCTGCTTTTTACTTACATGAACTTGTCTTGTCTAATCTAAACTTATCAATACATATTAGACCTTAGCGAGCTTACTTATCAATACACATTTTAGTTTTAAATTGAACTGCAACTCTTATAAATTGTATCAGAACTTATTTTTCCTAAACATATCTAAATATCTTAACTGAACTTATTTAAACTCGTTTTTTCAAAAAATAAGTGAAAATAAGAGCGCCTAATAAGAAATTCTCTATAGGATAAAAAAAAAGTGACAGTTTCTAAGGATTAAAACCTAGCATACCTGTTTGTTGATATTCAGGGTCAATGTAGCAAAAAGTACCAGCTGTGGAGGTCATCCTATATTGTGTAACCTCGTCGGCTACACTTGGGGGAACTAGCCTAGCTAAGCCTACATCACTAATCTTGGCAACTAAGTTGCGATCTAGGAGTATATTGGCTGGTTTCAAGTCTCGATGCACCAAGGGCTCAGGCTTCGTTTGGTGTAGGAATAAGAGGCCTGTGGCAATTTCCGCTGCAATACGGAACCTATGTTGCCAACTGAGTGCCATAGTCTGACCTCGACGGAATAGACGATCCTCGAGGCTCCCATTGTGCATATATTCATAAACTAAACATCCATACTCTGGGCAAGCCCCCAATAGAAGAACCATGTTAGGGTGTCTTATGCAGCTAAGAACTTCAACCTACAAAAAAAAAAAAAAAAACATTGTCACAAACAAAATTAATATGGTGAAGTAATAATTTATTAATAAATTAAAAGTATGTCCGCAAAAAAAATCATAAATTGTATTCCACTCGACTTGATATAAAGTATATAAACCAATCTTCTGTTTTTTAGTTGAATTGGTCATTTAACATGGCATCAGAGCCTGTAAAACAAAAAAAAATGAAAAGTTCGCTAAATTATTTGTAAAAATTAGGGTTTAGTAGTAAACCTCTTGTTGAAATTGAGATCTTCCTTGAGCAGCATCAGGACGTAACACTTTAACAGCAACTACTGTGTGATCTAAGTGACATCGAAACACCGGGCCATATCCCCCTTCACCAATCTTTCGTGCTTCGGCGAAGTATTCGGTAGCTACTTCTATCTCTTCTATTGTATACTTCCTATACCTTATAGCAGTGGTTATACGATCCACATCCTTGTTCTTTTCATCAACTTCCTTAAGTGCTTTCATTTCGGCACTGATCCTTTTTTGTGCCTCGAGTTCGAGTAGTCTTTTATGTGCTTCCGATGCCTCAATGGATGCCTTTGATTTAGCTTTATTCTTCTCTATGAATGATGTTTGTGTCGATTCTTCCGAATCTTGAGCTTCATCCATTCTACGCTCTTCTTCTACTTTCCACCGTTGGAGATCAAGGGCCTATAATTGAAGAAGAGTTCCTTCATTTAAAATGTTTTTAATAATTTCAAGCAATCATATATCAAAGATTTTGATTTTGATATTGATATTATTTTTACATACTTCCACTAAGGCACTAATCTATAAACCAAATTCTTATAGAACTTGTTTTTATCAAAAGTGTTAAAAATAGCCAAAAGTTAAAAAAAAAGGCGATAAAAAGTTGCATGACACAAATATTTGGTCAAACCAGGGTTCAAGTTCCTAAATATATATCCTTAGTTTTCTTTTACTTGTAACACACCTTTATGACACACACGACGAAGGAGAGATTTGATAACTAATTAACCCTTTTTTGTTGTCAATGTTAATAATCATTTTGATAAAATCGTTCATTTACCTTTTTTAATCACCTACTACTACATACAAGTGCATTTTTTAATTTTTAGATGAAATTGTGCTGCAAATATTAAGAAACGGAAGAAGTACGTATTACGTAATGCTAACTAGTCGGGAAGTATAAACAATCTTTGAGATATTCATTTAGGATAGATATAGGAAAAGAGGAAAACCTTTTGTTTTGCTGTAAGTGCTTCTTTGCAAACACTGCTGTACATATTCATTGTTTGCGCTAACTCCATCTTTAGCTTTCTCATTTGAGCTTCTACATCATCCTATAATTTGAAAAGAAGAATCATTAATTATGGATTGTTTCTTATAATTTTTTTTTTAGAATGTATGCATTAGGGAAATTTGAACACTAATTAATTACTCATCTAACTTGTAACAAATATTTAAATCAACGCATGCATTTTAAATCCCGTTTTCAAATCACATACTTCCTCTGTTCTTTTCTAGTAATGTCATATCTCTTTTCATGGCCGAACTTAATTAGTAAAAAATGATAGGTTTTAAACTACTTACCATTGATTGAGATTGCGTGTTCGATGACCAATTCGAGTTAGAATTGTCATGAAAAGAGTAATTAGAAAAATTAGGAGGAGGGCTAGACAAAGGAGTAGTGTCCGCAAAGGACCTTCGTTGGGGTGTTTCATTCATATAATCATTTTCAGAACTTGATGATAGTCTATTAGTACTAGTGCTCCTCCTTTCTTCAAAAACATCATAGGTCGAAGGAAGCGTGCGATCAACACTAGCCCTTCCCGAGCTTACGAATGAGATATCGTTGTCCGATAGGATGTCACCGTAAGATCTAACATGTGGATGTCTACCCCCTCGAGTGAAGGTCGATCTGTAGAAAAATATCTTATAACTGTTAGGAAAATCTTCTCTCAAAATTGAACGAATTTTTAATATAACAAGGTCATATTGTACAAAAACCTAGGGCAATGTGTGCTAAATTTAATTTGTCATATGAAATTTTAGCTAGACGTAGCACTTACTTAAAATCAATGTCTTCAAATCCATTAAATGGCGACCCGGATGGTGTTGTTTTTTTCAGACCCTGGTCAATGGTAACGATATTGGTGAGTCCACATTATATTTACAACAAAAGTATTCTCTTTATTATTTTGCAAATTATTAAATAGGAAAGTTTTCTAAATTTTTTAAAGAATGAAGGAAGTATAGGAAATTTACGAAAAAAGAAACTTTTTATTTTACCACGAGGAGGAGTAACCGGGGCACTTGTTGGCTGATTCATAATTTGATTTCGAAGAGGGGAAACAATTGGGGGAGGACGGGAAGCGGATCGTGTGTTTGAGATTTTTCCTACTTTTGAAATTACATAAACGCTACAAAATTCTGGTACTCCTTTTGATACTGCCGTAGGAGTATCTGTCTTGGTGAATTTGCTATATGAGCATTAAGAATTCATGTATATATGTTAGAAAACATAAATGTTAGTCCAAGAAAAAAAATACTGATGAAATTTCAAAACAATTTAACAATTCATCATTTTAATATTGTACAAAATTGTTAATACTGCACGAAAATATTCATAATCTAATGCTAGTAATTTAATAATGTATGACAAAATTATGTGTCAATCACTATTAATGTTTGACTACGCATAATATTTTTTTTAGATCCTTAATTATTATAACCATCACGGTTGTGTATACCATTTTTCTTGATTAATCGGTAATGTTTTTAAGGTTCTTTACTAATCTCAAACTCTTTATTTTAAAAATGATCGATACAAACCTCAAGATCGAATTTCTAGAAGAAGCACCCATGATCAAAACTTCAACTGCGGATTGAGTGACAAACTCTATCAATGCCTTTTGAACATCTGAATCTTCGAGCACGATGTCCCGACATTGTATCTATCCATAAAATTTTCAATAAATTTAAGAGAAAAAAAAAGCTAATATAAAAATTATTTTACAAATAAATTAAAATAAATATATAAAATTAACACCTAAGTTGTAAGCTTGTTTGTGAATCAAGTTTGAGCAGCATTGTCAAACACAATCATCTTATGCATATATGATATTCTTAGTTCAAAAATGAAATGTATTGAGTGTCATATATGTATCCGATAAG